CGCACTATACGAAATGTTTTTATCGGATCACCGCATAGCTGCCGGTAACTTAAAGGGAAGAGGTCGAGATTAGCTAACCATGTTTCGTAGGGTTATGAGCCCTGTCAAATCACAAGCTTAGTTGCACGCCTTTGAGCCTTCTCGAGGTAACTGAGGTCTTTCGCGGTCCAGTGTCTCCATGTTCGGATAGCGAACTCCAGTTTCGGCCGCAAAATTTTCCAAAGACCTTCGCGAAGCCGTCTTTATCAAAAACAGAGAAAGCCCGTTTGACAAGGTACAGGACGAACATCTCAAACTTGGCTACTTTTGCGCAATGCAGCGAAGACTTAAGCGACGTCGTTATCCACAGTCCTAAATCATTCTGCGCGTTCACTTCTTGCAGTTTGATGCCATTCAGGCTGTAAAGCATTGGATTCTGGGAGCTGGGTCGGCTTACTCGTAGGATACTGCACTTCTCATTAAACGGCAAAAATTAGCCTTAAGACCAAGTTTTAAAATGGTTTAGGTTTACCTGTAAACGCTCTTCGTCGGCTGCATTTTTGATGACTTTCCAAATCTTAATATCGTCGGCAAACAGCCACGTCACAATCCAGTCCCCGGACACTGTCGTTGACGTACATAATGAAGAGTATGGGGCCAAGGACAGAGCCTTGGGGAACACCGCTCTTGACAGCAACCTCTGCCGACTGCTGGTCACCGATATGGACAGTTTGAGGGCGGCCTATTAGGAAGCCTCAAATCCACTTCAGCAGATTTCCTCTAACGCCTACTTGACTGAGTTTGTGCAAAAGCCGTTGATGCGGGGTACTATCAAACGCCTTCTTGAAGTCAATGTACACTACGTGAAGCGGATTTCCTTCATCAAATGCCCGGGTCCAACGTTCCAAACAATAGAGCAAGTTTGTTACGTAGGACCTGCCTCTGCAGAATCCATGCTGCGCATCTCATTGTAGGTTATGCTGCTCTAGGAAACACATCAGCTCTCGCTCTACTTTTTCCATAAGTTCGCAACAGATTGGTGTATAATTGTTTGAGGAAACTTTTTGCCGCCGTTATACAACGGTGCGATCCGTGCGGATTTCCAATCTGCGGGTAAACAACCAGCTTCAAAAGCATGGAAAGCGGTTTTGCTAGCTCCCCAGCAAGTTCTTTCAGTAATTTGGGCGGAATATCATCGGGATCAGGGGATTTCGAGTCATTTAGTGCCAGCAACACTTGACAGCCAGTCACTTCTGCGAAAGATATATAAGCAGTCACTGGAACGTCGTCTAAGCCACGGTTGGGAGGGATTAATCCGCTTTCAACCACAAAGATCGATTTGAAAAATTGTGAGAGATGTTCAGCTTTTGCTCCATCCTCAGTAATTTCTGTCTCGAAATAACTACATTAATCACCATTCATGGCCGAAAAGGTTTGCTTAGTTAACAGCGAACACGAGGCAACCAGACATATGCTGCACTGATAAGCAATTTTCGTGAATTTCGCATTTAGCGCTCACATATTTTCTTATGACGACGGCTTCAGGGTGGATACCTGGTAATATACAGGGTGTCCCAAAAATGGATGCACATTTTAAGTATTTGCAAACTTGGTGTTTAGTATAATTATGTTATTTCAAAAATGTAAAAATATTTAAAAGTATCCTTTTATTGTTTTTCACTGCATTTTGACTATTGCAACAGTGGCTGAATTGAGAAGAAGCTATCGAAAATGAATGCACCCGAATACCAGGGGAATTGTTTCATGCTACGTGCGATTCCATTGCTTCGCGTTGTCTGCAGTGATACATCAAAATGGACGTCAGTTTTAGGACGTTCAGTGATAAAAACCATAAAATGGTACTTTTAAATATCTTTACACTTTTTTACTAATAAAACTACGATAAATACCAATTTTATGAATAAGTAAAATGTGTATACATTTTTTGGGACACCCTGTATGTCTTAAAATTGGGCTTCAATCTTTGTCGGATCTATTTTTCTTTTGAGTACACAAAATGTAAACCCAGAGGGGAGGGCTTCTGCTTGAAATTTAGGCAATGTCAGATCTGACCTGTTAAAAATGTAGTTATACGGGTTCAATGGAAACTATTCGTCTAAAGGTTGTTTGTCGTATCTTAGCAGTAACGTAATAAGTTCATCGGAGTTCGTCGCAGCCATCGGGAGGATACTTTGAACCTGAGTGCATTTGGGCGATAATTCAAGTACACATTTGTTAGCAAATGGATATCGCGCCGACGTTTCGTTTGCCCTCCATACCGGTTCTTCGATGCATGGAAACAACGGATGGCCGTTTGTTGTAATGCCACAATATACCATGTTTTTTTCAATGGAATCTATGTGGGTCACTAAGTATAATATAGACCTAACTTTGAGGATCGGGAACAATGGATACCAATGAATGACCGCCCCCAGTCCAGTAGAAGGTATAGTAAAGCGGCGGGCCTAGTAAGACAGTCAGCAAATTTCGAGTGAAATCTGCCTCAGATCGACCGCCTGCCACGACCAGATGCTTGACCTACAATAGTGAAATAAATATGCACATGCCGGCCTGTCTGCGAACCCTTCCTCGGTACTTAGCCGATGAATAAAGTCGTCATAGCCCGTCCACTGTGCACAATGAGACGATCAGAGATTTGGAATTTATATTTTCAGCGCCGGCACGGCACTATCCGTACAAAGTTAATTTCAAAAAAATAAAAATTCAAAAAAGAATTCGACAATATGTGCAAATAGACGTAGAAAGT